TAAGGGCTGTAATGCTGCAGAATGAAGCTGAGCTGGAACAAAAGGAAATCTATTCATTAACTTAAATCGTAGTAATTTTAGCATGACCCAAGAGGAGCCTGGTGAATCTAACCCTCTATTTTCCCACATCGTTCCTAGCAAGTGCCTTTCTTTCTAGCTGAGGTTTGAGAGCTGACTCACTTCTAGACTAGAGCGAAATCTAGGGTGGATGGTTTTTTTTCCTTGAGATTAGAGTCAATGCTATTGCAACAATTGCAGTGAAAAGAGGAATTATTGTCCTTGCTGATTTTGATGTGTAAAAGCCGAATTTAAGTTGTCCACTTACCAGTTTCCTAGTTATCGGATTTATTTTTTCACTATGCTTAGTCATAGATCTCTGTAGATGCTGCTGTCCACCTGGGGGAGGAATCACGGCTGAGACCTTGATTGCTCGATCCCTCATGACATTAATGGCTCTTTTGTTGGTTTTTGTAGGACTCTGCATTTTGTGGTGGGAGTAACAGGCCAAACCAATACCTAGAGGAAGAGAGGTGCAAATGACTGGGGCAGGGTGAAAGGGACTTGCTATTGCCAAGGCAGGAGAGGATTCCTGGCCTCCCACAGTGACCAGGCTTGCTAAGAGACCCTGGACCTTTCCACCACCATGGGCCAGAGCCAGAGCTCAGCTTCCCTTGGCAGGTTTTTATTGTTGGAGGGTTTCTTTTTTATTGTTTTTTTTTTTTTGCAGAAGTAGCTACAGTTGTAAAGATGAGTGGACAGAGGAACACCTCAGAGGAGGAGGGTGCTCCTAGAGGGTAGAGAACTAGAGGACTGGGGACGTAGGATGTCCCAGGTGTCTGTTTTCTGCCCACTTTCTTTGTCTCAGTTTCCCAGTCTGTAAAATGGGGGCAAGGAAGTTGATAACTTACATAAGAGCTACCGGCATGCAGCGTGTTGTAAAGGCTCTGATAAAAAAAACCCTTCTGGATGGCGAAGCACAATGGGAGCACAGACAGCCTCATCACTCAGGCAGCAAACTCCTACGTGTGAAAACGTGAGCCGGGAGTTTGACGTATCTGCTACCCAAATGCTAGCAGGTGACGAGCAGATGGGGCCGCCGGGCGCTTGTCTGAGGTCTGCCTGAGCAGAAGGTGGAGGGGGAGTGGGGATCCGAGCGCCGAGGCTTTTATTTTTTTTTTGTGTGTGTGTGTTGTCGATAACTGACACGTGGTTCTCACCAAAGATGTAAAAATAGAAGCCGTTGGCTTGTGCGGGGCTGTGGCACGGCATTGCTTTATCTGGGAGTTGGGATGTCACGCTCTCCCAGTTATTTATAGGCAGCAGGCAAACCTTGGGAGAAGGACGAGAGGAACAAAATGTGAGAAACGTTTCATGTAGTGGTTTTGGGCCACGGTGGTGCCTGCTGGGCTATGGGGACTGGGAGCCCCAGGTGTTCTCCTAACGGTGCCTCTGTCAGTCCTGCAAGGACCAACATGGGGAAGGGAATCTGTCCTCAGAGGGGTTTTTCTTTCTCAACCACATGTGTGACCTGCCTTGGAGATGATGTGGATTTAAACACACAAGGAAAGAGTCTGGTGGTGTATTGAAGGAGTTTATGAACAGGTCTGCAAAGCCAGCAAACGGCTAAATGGATGTGTTGTGTTTTGGGGGTGGGGATCTTGTTTTTCTGGTGGGTAAACCAGCAGAGCAGTGTGTGTATCAGAGAGTTATGCCTTGCTGCAGTCTGGTGTGCTTTATCTGACAGCCTCTTGCTGTACCCTGCGTTGTCCCCGTCGTCTTGCACTATGCAACCTCCCATACTTCTGTTATTCTTGAAATCCCAACTATATGCCCCAGTGCAGCCCTCATGATGGAAGGGAAATGGGTGTTAAATGGAACAGCCTTGAGACACACAACCCTGAAACCTGGTTCCTACAACAGATTCCTCTTCTGAGGCTTTGGAGCTTTGCGTGTGTCCATGCTTGTCCCTCTGCTCCAGAGCAACCTCAGGAGAAGCCGGGTGAGACTGTGGAGGGGGACAGGATGGCTGGGCTGTTGGATGGATGGGGGCAGGAGGCCAGACAGACGAGAGCCAGCGGTGTGGAGGTAGCCAGGGTGTGTGTGGATCTGCCCATGGATCCATCCGTGAACTTGCTGGGAGGTAAACTGAGAGGTGCAGATGGACAGTAGGATCGATGACCTCTGTGAGCTCAGCCACTGACTTGTTGCTTTACCCGGCTCAGCTTCTCAGACACAGGAGAAACTGAGGCAAGACGGTGAGGCTGAGGCTCCAGTCACCCTCCTGTCTGGAAACCTGGAGAAACCCTTTGTGCTTCCCTGGGAAGACATCCAGCCATTCTCTGCCCATCTAGGGCTGAGAACTAAAACCAGGATCACCTCCAGGCTTCCCAGTGGGATCATCCCCTTCCTTCCCTTTCCTCAGGGCACCAAGCCACAGCAGTTCACGAGCCGTTGAGAAATAGATGCCCACGGGTCCCCAGTGCTGCTGTTAATGTGACGGGGAGAGGGGCCCACACACCTGATGGTGGCTCGGAATAGGAGGCAAATGATTACAGCTGAAGAGGTCGTATACCATTGTAATCCCGAAAAGAAACATTATGATTCATCATTCCTGATGTAATGTCATCTGTTTAATAAAGCCGTAATTCACTCTGTGCTCATTTTTAATGGGGCTATTTAAGTAATGGCGTTGGGTTTTCTCTTTCCCAAGCTCCCCCCACTCCCATACTAAGTAGGGTTTGGACCAAGCACTTGAAAAGAGCTATTGGAGCTGAAGACTTTTTTTATATTTACAATATCTTTCAGGCCGTAGCTGAATGGGATATTATTTATGTCAAATCACTACTTACCCTGAAATATGGGGAGAAGGAAAGCCAACAGCTGGATATGGTAATGAGTAAATAAACCATGTGTCTCTTTAATGGTAGGGACATGAATTTGTGCCGCATGGGGAAACGGCCGGTGATAAGATGTCTTTGACTGGGGCTGACCACAGAGCAAGGGCACCCCAAAATTTATGTTGCTGGAGGGCTCCCTTGGCAGCTTGCTGGGAAGAACGATGGTCTAATGGTTTGGGGTTGGCTTCGCTGCCTGTTCTCTGGGGAGTGTTGACCACATGCAGACAGAGCAGTATTTGCTACCTCTGGGTTGGTGGCACAGCTTGATACCCATGAAAACCTGGATCTGGAAGTTGTGGTTTCTTTGCATGTCTTAGAAACTCAGGGTTCTTAAAAAAAAAAAAAAAAAAAAAAAAAAA